TATGGAACAACTTCCTCTGGACACCATATACGTTTTATAACGAACAGTTATAATTGCTGTTACATCCTCGTGTGTAGAATCCTTTAATACACTGTTCAATACAAAGTCAAGTCAAACGTCACATATGTCATCAATTCTAACTACATGTGCACAATAGCAATGTACTACTTTTCATAAAGGCAAGAATGTATATACTCCCCATCAAAAGTTTAGACTCACTAGTGTAAATGTAGCCATTTACTTACGTCAACTGTTCTAAAATATATTTTGCAAAACTTTCCATACTGTTTAAAGGCACTGTTTACACATGAACTGATGTCTTGTAAAACACATCTGTAGCGTTGAAAAGATTATTGTCATGAGTTAAATAAATGATGAAACTCGGTGAAAATTGACGAATTCGTAACAAACTTTACACCAAAATGCAGCTGTTCACATGCATGATATTTGCACATGCTTTACAGCAATGTGATGCATGATCCTCGTGCAATTCATCTGCATAATGTTTGCAGTTGGTTCCCCCAAGTTAGTGGAGAAATTCATCTTCGATGTAACCATACATATATAACATAACCCATAGTGAGTGCTTTAAGTGAGTCTAAACTTTTGATGGGTAGTATAGAGATCAACTCCTTCATTTGAGGAACACCACGTTTCGGAGTTCACTCCGTTAACCTGAAGGAGGAGTGTGAATATAATCCGCCGTGTTCCTTAAATTCTCGCCTTCATGTGTATCGCTCCTAAATGCCGTTAAATGACTACTATATTACAGTGTCAGAAATCCTTTTATTTTAAGTGAACTCTCTTTTTGTGAAAATTATCTTTTCCTCACTGCCCTCCCTCGAAACAATTCTGACCGTTTAACGTATAGGAAGAGAGAATTCACATTGACTTTTAATTACCATGATCTTTTACACTGGAATTACATTTGATGATATAGCTGTGGTCTTAGGCTGATTAAGACAAGTCGGACCAAACACGTATCAAAATTTCCAGGAAGTGTAAAATACGATGAATGATCACAATGAATTATTTAGGTATGTGCATTATAGGTAATATCTATATTAAATGATGAATGGGCACCTATAACACAATTTCTTCGATCCAAACACATTCCCTAATACACAATGAAATATGGACGGCCTCACAGATCATCTCCAACCTCAGTGAGCCAGCACGGGAGGGTAGGAATATTGATGGGTAATTACAATACAAACAATTCATTTTTAACACTTGTGTACGTCTTACTCTGAAAGTGACCCGTATTTGATCACAGAAGGTCAGAGAATTTGTATATTACTGTGAAGTGAACTCCAAAATATAATGTTGCATGGCTAAATATTCTTCACACTATATTATTTCCGTCAAACTAAGTTACCAAAAGAGCATACAAGGACAAGATCATTCTTCTTATGGGCCATTTGAAGGTATTTTCATAATATTTAGCGAAAGCCTAAGTTTTGTCAAAGATTTCGAATTCAGCAATTCATCTTTGATCAACCATTCATTTAATCAATACTTTATTCAGCTTAGAAACCGTGAGCCAATATACATATAAAAGGTGCATATATGGTAGTGGCATAATTTTAAACTTTGTTTCACAAATACATTCTACATAGAGTCACAGACAGGGTAAATAAATAGTTTTTTAATGTTCTTTTCCGTTCAGCAAATATCATTTCTAAATGTATGTATATTACATTTAATTCTAGTTTAATCATAGATAGCATATTCACGGAAAATGATATTCGTTTCTTATACTTCGATCACATAAAGGACAGTTTCCATGTATTTACCATATTTTGTTCACCTGCCTTTATTATTTCTTAACAGGAAAAATCCCACTCTTGACTAAATACACTCTTCAAATAATGAAAGACATATGCCATTTTTACAAGAATTTATTGCGTTAGTTTACGAGCAATTATTTCATGTAATTTCAATGGTAAAAGGTGAAACTTCACACGTCTATAGACAAAGAGTTCGCCACCACAACATCAGCCTTAATTGTTGTGTTTCTGTTAACTTGAGTCCACAAGATGGCGTCAAAGTCAGTACTTTGTATGGCCACCATTGGCAGCAATTACTCCTCGGAACCGACTCGGCACACACTGGATAAGTCGACGAAGTCGCCCACTCTTCCTGCAATGATGTTCTCTTTTCTTCAGGAAACGTAAATAAAACCTGAAGATCTGACGAGTGTAGATAGTTTTTAACTCAGTAGATAGTTTTAATAGAGAGATACCTATCAAGATTATCTCTATACGAACTAAGGACCCTTTATGGATAAATAATTAAACGTGTTCTTTGATTTGAAAACGAAACCGAATTTATAAATCTGCAAGCATTCGAAATTATCTTCAGACTGAGGTAATTGTTAACACATAAAGAAACAAGGGGATATCATCTGTAAGAAAAGCCCAAAGAACCTTTTTTTGATAAATGAACAACCGTATTGCACCTGATCTAACTGAACTTGTACTAGGTAGAGTTGCTGAGATAAGTAGTTATAGTCTGAGAAACCGATCATATCTACAAAACATATCAACTATAGAATCCAGAGGTATGCAAACCCATGTCTTCCAAGAACAATTATCTTATCGAACTCCTTGATCCAAGAACTCACTAACGTTAACTCAATAAAGAATGTATTACATTAATTTCTACTTCAGAATGAAAACTATTCGGGATCATTACCTGATGAAGGGATCTGTAATGATCCCCAAACGTTGTGTGGGAAAGAATAAAGAAGCTTATATCCATAAAATATCATAGATTCAGTCAGGTTACTCACTGTCTCCTCTTTCAAGACTGCAGTGATCTGAACACATTTCCGAAACATCTGACTTCTATGTGGTTATCACTGTGAAGACGCCATACGTCTTATATTGACATGTTGAAAATATCACGATATTAAAGTAAACGTGTCTTTTTACACAGTATAACATAAATACAGTTAAATACGGAAGTATTTCGATGAGTAACTCAACCAAGATGGACACTCGTCAATCTGTACACGAGTTTATCATTAAAAGCAAAAGATTTCAAAGATTATATTTATGCTTTTTGTTATCGCTGAACATAAAATTAATCCCAGTCTGCAAATCTGTTTCATGTTGGCTCCACTAACTCACACGTCTTACTTTGTTGACCTTTGTTATTACATTATTTAAGTTTGGCAACATGTTCAGTCTTCTCTTCGTTTATTGTTACCGGAGCGGTATTGATGTAATCAGTTTTGCTTGTTTACAAACCCGTGCTTCTTGTGGAAATAGAAATATGTTTAAACCATATAAACACAATTCAAGATAAATGCTCAAGTTGCTCTTGACAGTCCGGACCAAGTCGGCCCGTGACTTTGAGTTCAGAATATAGGAGAGAGGGCTTCACTTTGTGCAACGTGTTTGCTTCATATACCACCTTTAGAAACTATAAAGAGGTATTTACTATTTAGGGAGATATAACAATATTCTATAGATCTTTACACAATCCAAGATACTTTTGTAACGTTTAAGGTGCTTTTGACAGCCCAGGACAACTCGCACAGAACACTTGTGATTTTGAAACAACTTCAGAATAGATAAAAAGGGCTTCGTTTTGCTTTGATTACTACGTTTTGACAGGCTTGATACAGTATTATCAAGGAAGATGTACATGTTATGTTTATTCGTGGATTCAAACTCATTTGTTACTATAATTTAAGCAGCCAAAAAGTGCAACACGCATTGGGTTTAATCATATACAATATAGGAGCTTCGCTTTAACAGATACGTTTGTGAAAAGTCGCGCAATAAAGAGGTGAGTGAGTAGTTATAATTCTATGCCTCAGATCTAAACACATTTGATGAGGCATCTGTGAGGTTCGCGTTAATTTTGACAGCTCGGGCCCAGTCGCCTCGAACACTTCGGTCTGGGACAGTCCTGTACGAATTACACCGTTTATACGGTATTGTGTCTCAGGGGCGGATACAGCTTTTTAGAAAGGGGTGGGGGTGGGGGTGCGCACTATTGAGAAAAAGGAGGGGTGCACACTTCATTTTATCCGAGTGTCAATGGTCATTTAACAAACTTTCAGCACAAAAGGGGGTGCGCACCCCTGCACACACACACACACACACACACACACACACACACACACACATGTATTTGTATTTGCGAACAAATAGCAGTACTCTAGAGCTATAACCTATATTTAAACATGTCATGTCAGTCCCATTGACATTCGCCAGTATCCACTTCCAATTACATGTATAATAAACATCCTGTGCTGCTTCAGATTGAATCGATCAGGGTTAGTTCAGGAGCCCCAATAGGTTACTTTGGGAAATGAAGAACTCAGCAAACTGACACTTCCTGCCCATTTGCATAAAAGGATCGTAGCTACAATCAATTGTAGGCATATGCAATTGAAATTACAATCGCGATCGTAACTCTTAAAACGCTTGCACAGTTGTAACTCATCTCATTTTACAATTGCGATCGTAAGTTACAATCGTAATCTTCGTTGCTGAAGATAAGATTATCCATAGCAACATAAACAACAATTTAGAGTTACGTCCCTTGACTGCATAGGGCAGACGACCGCTTGATCATAACAATGTCGTCGCCTCCGAGTAAAAAGTCAGAAAAAGTTATTATTCTTCGCAAGAAATCGAAATCCTTACAGATACAAGGGAAGCTGCTCTGAAATTAAAGTTAACCTGAAGTTAGCGTCACATACGGATTGAACATTTATAGCGTGGAAGCCTTTCCGACAAACGTAGGCCACTTCTTCGTCTGCAGGTTGTCGTTTAATGGGAATACGTGTACCATCAATTGCCCCAATAACGCGGGAATTCAGCTATTTTGTAGAAGTCTTGCATTCTAACATTATTTGCGACAGGATTGAACTTGATGTCCAAAACGTTGTTTATGGCACGGATTGTCCGATGGACGGAGCGAGACACAGAGGACTCGCGAACGCCATGTAGATCACCTATTTCCATTAAAAAAAACTCCTTTACTCAAGTAACGAAGTGTAACCAGCAACTGAGTTTCAGGGGAAATAGCATGTGAACGCTTGGTTCCATGTTCGATGTGTGGCCGAACGTTCTCCAAAAGTGAGACTGTGGCATGCCGAGGCAACCTATACCTTGAATGAGTTCACATTCCGTCAATAACTCCAAATGTGATGTTCTATCTCTAAAAATACGTTTCATTTTTTCTGAGACTTCCTCGGCAGCCATGTACGTACACGACGCCATTTTTACCATCGATTGTAGGCACTTACAATAGGTAGTGGGCTATTGTAGGTTTCAACTGTAACTTACAACTTTTGTAGGCTTACGATCGCTTTGTGCAAGAGGCGGGTGACCTACAATTACCTTACAATCAGAGTTACAACTATTGTAGAGATACACTCGTTTGTGCAAGTGGGCCAGGACGTCTCGCGTCAAAAGATAAGGACAGTAACCTTCTCACATAGACATATCAAAGAAAACACATAGCTTCAAGACAGTGGCAATTCAGCTTCTATGGGCTCTTGGTATGTAGTCATAGTTTTCTTTTTCGTTTTAATATTCTGCAGCCTATTTGTAGTATTACCCACTGCCCGGTTTTTTGGAAGTCGTCATGTGCTTATTGCCAGTTACAACACAGACCGTAGCGATATTAATTTACAAAGAGGGTAGAGTCGGGTGTTAATATCATGTGACATGTATTATACACCCAGCCACCCGGGACCGTGAACTGAGCATTCCCGGAGAATCAGCCCTGTACTTGAAGAATGTTGTTTTGTTGAGTTACTTTATACAGTGTGATTATTAAATAATACCGCACGGTAATAACAAGTGCGTCTATTGCCGGACTCACATAGCATATTCAAAGCGATCGATCGACTGTTGAATGCAGGTTTGGTAGGTATGCGCATATACAAAATTCAGAGGCCCTGTCTCTTCCAGACTGTTCAAGTTAATTAAATTTTAAATAGTACAGAACTACTAGTTAAGACAAGACGTTGGTACAAACAGCTGAACATTTCAATAACTTCCATCCGACTACGGCCTATGGGCAACCATGAAAGCGCCCCCTTGTAGCAAAGGGAGATAATAACAACAACTTGTGGCAGATACGTACCTAAAGTGCAAGGGAAACTACACGTAAAATATACTGGAGTAACTAAGTTAATCCATTTATATACGAACGAATTTGTTTCAGGAATATCCGTCAATTACCAGATAGGACAATGGAATCAGCAGGTGGGTGTGTTATAAAATATACAGCTATGTTATGTGTTGATGTCCCGGAAATTTTCAGTTTGTCTGGTATCGTTCATTCATTTTTTCAGTGTACAGTAACCACAGGAATTTTCCGGAAACCGATGTCTTTTAGAGATCACATAACAATACTGTGAAAGCGTACTTTCCTTTTGACAGCGTTTCCAAGAACAGGATGTCCTGTGGTCTCCACTCGTGAGGCTCTCGATGAATGGGTTTCTCTCGCCGACTCAAGGGACGGTTAGTATTGTTTCGAGTGGTACGGAGGTGCTGGCATGTGATTGTGAGGTAAACACTGTTTCAAGTTACACGTTACCATGGTACAATACCCTTACACAGTCAAACATCATTGTGCCGGCAGTCCAGCTGTAAGTATATTGTTTGATAGGCAATATTTCTTCTTAACAATTACGTTACATTTATAAATGCTCGTCTGTGGTTGGTTGTTGTTGTTGTATCGAATCATTCCTGTACATTTTGTCATCTGTGGTACAATGACTTTTTAATACTGTGACACTTTATCATTTTCAGAAACAGACGCACCATCCTTTACAAAATACATGAGAAAATTTAGACAGTAAGTTTCTCGAACAATTGAACGATCGTCCCATGATAAGAGTCGGCACATAACTGTAGTTCATTCAGTATACACTATTTCCTCTGTAGTAAATGTGCTGTCATTATTATTAAAAGCGGCGTAAAACTAAACACACTCACTCTCTTTCTTAGTGAATGAAATCCATAGCCATCCCTGTTTGCCATCGAGCGATTGCTGGCTGATACAAAGTACCCCTATTTGCGCAGACAGCGAAACCTGTTTGTAGAAATGACAAATCACGTCTCTTTGACAGGGTATTTAAACCAAGAAGACGAGCAGAGAAACTACCGGAAGTGAAGGCTGGTAAACCCCAGGATGACAGCGACGAGTACGACTTCAGCTACCCTAATAGAGGACTGGCGGTCATTATTAATAATGAGAATTTCGATCCTGAATCTAAGTTATCAGATAGAAAGGGATCGGGCGTTGATGCTTCAAATCTTAAGGGCATGTTCCATCGTCTGGGATTTAAGGTCATTCTTCACAAAAATCTGAAGGGAGAAGAAATGGTTCACACTCTCCAGAAAGGTAGATATTAAGAGATATAAACTCTTCTCAATATTCATTTGGGATAATGTATAGTAAATAGGAACTGTATGCACTAGCAATAATTGCCAATAGTAGTTCCTAGTTGTTTGGTCCACTCTTTTCTTAATTCTTTCGTAATATGCATACATTGTACTCCTTGAAAAGGGAAGCACCATTTCTGCTGTATTTTTATATATTCTTGGCATCCATAAGTTTTGTAAAGGTTTCTTTATGACATTGTCTTTTCTATTACCTACTGAATATTTTTTTGAAAACAAAATAAAAAACATTGAATTTTAGTTGTCTTTCGATCAACGGAACTTTACATTTCACCTAAAATCCGTAAAAAAAAATAATCTGTTGCAAAGGTTTTGATAAATAAACTATCCCAATAATTAGATTATACTGATCATAGCCTTCACCAATCACCTTCAGTCGCCAGCAACAAGGAATACGACCACGCCCCGGCAGACTGCTTTGCATGCGCTATCCTGTCCCATGGTGATAATACCGACTTTCCGCCCCAAAAAACAAATGATGCTATGCTGCGACACGACTTCGTCTACGGCGTGGACGGCATGATAGTCCCAACACGATTTCTCCTCAGCATCTTCAACGACGAGTGCTGTCCAGAACTTGAAGGGAAGCCAAGGCTCTTCTTCATACAGGTGCTGAACAGTGGAATGATTCTTATAAAACCGACACGCAATTTGGTCAGACACGCTCGTTTTCAGTGTATGCTTTAAGCTTATTAAATATGTTGACATTACCTTTTTGATTGATATTAATGAACACATTCCTCTCTATGCTGTGCTTATGATCTAATCAACCCTGCTTTTAGTAGAAATTGTGAAATTTGGGTTTTGTCTCCTTAAGTTTCATCTATTGGTTTTCGTCCATACTGTTGTAAAATCAGCGATGTCCATTATTTGAAGAGTCCTCTTAGTTCAGATGCAGAACAAAGAATTTAACTGTGTTATTGTTTATACAACAAGATTGAAGTTGGTATTACTGAGAGAGGGGTTTGCCTAACAAGGACATGTCTCTGATGTTAAGTGAATGGACGTCAAGTCGGCGGATGTAGAACCGCAACTTGTGGACAAGGAAATGCTTATGCCAGGTATCAACACACGGCAACGCAGTACCATGTCTTCATTACAGCAGCAAACAACTTAATAAACAATGAAACGATTTCTCCGCGATGTTTAATCAACCCAAGCATGTTTAGAAACAATCACTTTATTTTTTAAGGAACCATTATTTTTCGAAATCATCCCAATTCACCCACCCCAACCTATTCCAGTATCAAATGGTTGACGCTAACGTGTACACAGATAAGGGGGTATAGAGTTGTATGCCACCCCTTTGCAATACACAAGAAGAAATACATTTTATCATCCCTTGCTATACCTTTGTCGAATTTATGTCTAGCCAACTCTCTTAGGAGTGGACCTTAAGCTAATGTGAGTGAGTTTAGTTTTACGCCGCTTTTAGCAATATTCCAGCAATATCACGGCGGGGGACACTTTAAATGGGCTTTACACATTGTATCCATGTAGGGAACGCTTTAAACCACTAGGCTACCCCACCGCCCCCTTAAGCTAATGTACTTATAGCTACAGTCTCTGTTGTTTGTATGTAAATATTTGTTTCTGTAACAATTCTATTATATATGGCATGATTCTAGATGGGACTGCCATATCCCCGTCTTCAGAGTAGTTGCACATCCCCGTCTTCAGAGTAGCATGCAATAAAGGTAAGAAACTGGTCAAAGTAAGTAAACGTTCATCTCTGGTGCAGTCAAATATGTCCTAAAACAAACTCATCGTTTTCAGGCATGTCGGGGAAGGGCCTTAGATGATGGAACAGATATAACGGTTCTCCAGCGAAAGAATCAATCAGAACTTGCTAGTTCACATGAAATCCCAAGCGATGCTGTTCCGGAAGATACTCTTCAGGTTGGAGAGACGGGTCTACAGCCAAGACAAGCCCAAATGTCCGCACTTGAGGAAGAAAAAGTACATTTTGAGGAAAAGGGAGACGAGGTCCATGGTGAAGATAAAGGACACTCTGGACGAACGGTTCCTCAATCTCAATACCTCACAACCATCTCTCCAGCACCCATCTACAAGGACTTCCTCCTTATGTATGCTTCTCCTCCGGGTAGGTCCTTGGCAGTAGGTCATTTATCCTTCGCATTCCCCTTACATCCAAGTTAGAATGGGTAAAGCTGATTTATATCAGAAGTGGAGGCTTCTATCTCACGAACACTGGTCTACAGGCACCAACGTAAGTAATATCCTTGACATACCTTGGCGGGGGCATCAAGAATGAGCACTATATAGCATTGTTTAAAAATCTGAAATATTTATATATTTTCCAAAAATCCATATACTGGTGTAACACACTTTTCACCCATATATATTTGTATGGCTTCAACTGACCGTTTGAAGAGTCATCCGCCTTGTTAGGGCACACGAGCAGACATCTTCTGAGATCCTTGAGCAAGTCTAAATTTTACAAAACAGCCTCTGTCGTCTCTATAATGTATGCGATTGCATTACATGGCCGACATTTCTCTCTATCTCTGTACAATAATCTAAGGATGTTTGAAGTTCTACTACTTTCACAGTGATGCATCTAGTGAGCTTGGATCAGACCATCGGTCCATTTATGTCATTTATGAAGATGACACGCTGCAGAAAGTACTGTCACTCTCCCAATAGTGTGATGTGCTAAACAAATTGGTTTAGAAATTAAGTCAAGATCTGGTAGTTTTGCAACAAAATCAGGAAAATTACTAGAACTCTGAAATACAGTGGCTCGAACGGGATATCAGTTACATCCACAATACCTCTTATAACTGAGTGAGTTTAGTTTGAACCGCTTTTAGCAATATTCTTGAAATATCACTGTTGGGGACACCAGAAATGGGCTTCACACATTGTACTCATGTGGGGAATAGAATCTGGGTCTTCGGCGTGAGGAGCGAACGCTTTAACCACTGGGCCACTCCACCGCCCCATTTATAACTGAGAAACGCCTGGCCTGGAACAGGGATCTCTGTGATGGGATTTACTCCTATTGTCTTTGTGGAGCGTATTGAGGATTGTCAAATCGTTCTTGAAGGAGTCTTGGGATCGGATCTTGAGGAAAACATCCTACCCGCTTATTTAACCTTCTGAACTAGAAACATAAAACTCGTAACACACAGCACAAGTCCAAATAGGGAATTGCACAGGACTATATTTTGGTCACTGATGCGTTAAGTTTGGACGTATCCTCTAACATGCCTACCACGACTGGTCAAGAACGCAATTAACAAACTGACAATTACACTTTTGCAGGGTGCTTTGCATGGCGGAACATACACTCCGGGGCATGGATGGTCCAGAGCCTGACATCTGTGCTGAGAGAGGAAGGTGTCGCTGAGGTACCACTCATGACGCTGCTTCTAACAGTCAGCCAGGGAGTGACGAGGTGCGAATCCCATGCTGATGAACCCTTTGATAAAAAGAAGGCAGTTCCTTGTATTATGTCAATGCTCACTAAGGATGTTTACTTTAGAGGCAAACGTTCACCCCCATTAAAGTAGGTGCGCAATGTCTTCTTTGAGAGTCATTTAGAAGCTGTATGGTGAACAGGAACGATTTTTATGGATTGAATGCGACGTTTCGGGGAAGATGCTAACGACGTTATCAAGCATGTTAGAAGGTTAAAAAGTTTCAGCATAACTGAGCGAAAAGTACTCCGTCATGCCTCTGTACCCATTATGATATGATTGTTATACAACTGATCCGGAATGTGATATATCAATACGTTCAGACTTAACTTTCCAACCCCATGGTGTCAGAAAGTCAAACAATAGTCCTCATTTTTTCATTCTTTTGTGATATTTTTATACTTTTGACATTTCCTGGTGGAATAAGGATTGTTTGATGTTCCCTCATCACATTACTAAAATGTAAAACAATTACAGTCTACATAAATTACATGCAATTAATTCATCCAGATGGAGAAGTTGCTTATTAATGTTTTCTTGTATGTGTCAAATTAAAACATTGAAACAATGTTCTGTTACTGGAGCATTGTGCTGTGGTAGTATATTAAATGTTTACCTTTTTATGTCCTTTTTTATCCAGTTGGGGACTTTTTAAAAAAAAAGCAATTTATGTCACCCTGCTGTGAAATTGAATGATTAAATTTGATTACCAGACATTGTGTTCTGCGCTGTCTTTCATGGTTTTTACTGACAGTCAATACCAATCTGTGAAGTGGGGCATGAGTATGAATTGATCATCTGGTCATGTTCAAATTCCAATCTTACCCTGATTTACCCGCCTGACCTAGCAATGAAAAAGACGAGGAAAACACGATTGGTTCTTGTTTATGCATCAGGATTCCGAGTAACAACAAACTGTCCACAAAACCGTGTGACAAGAGGGATATGTTGATCGTTTCAACACAGCCCCCGTCATGCATGCACAACATGGGGACTGTATTCGGAGATGTGTAGAGGTTCTTGCACTTGATAGAAGGAAATCACTAATTAGTTTGGATAATATGATATGATCGGATTTGTTTCTTCGCGGAATCAAACTTTGCTTATTATGATATATAAATCTGGTCCTAACAATCAAGTGACGACATCATGACCCTCGCAATTGGGATATGTTGACATGAATAAAGCAAATCACCCGCCAGTCTCCTTTGTTTAGGAGACTTTTAACGGGTTCCAGCTATATCTTATGCAGTAGTCACTCTGGTGCATCATTTGACAATATTCCTGTCAAACAGCCTATCAGTTTAATTAAACAAATGTTCACCTTAGTAGCTCGGGACAAGAGTTGTTAGCTGTGTTAAGAGGTAGGTAGCAATCGAACGTTGTTTCCAAGCGCTGCCTACCCCACTGCAGGCACCCTTACGCCCATTTCCGGGCTATGATTTAACGTCACTCTTTTGAAAGCCCTTAGAGTGCGTCGTTAAACAACAAACAAACAAATAAAAGCCATACACAACTGACACAGCCATACACTGCCGTCTTTTGGTATCGCCCGATGAGACCGTGTTTTGTCCACTGCGTTATCCGGTATAGAAAACTAAGGTCAAAGTAATGGGTGCAGTCATTTACCGGCGTTTGATTGACAGGGTCTTTATCAGCTGCACTACTGCAGTTATATTTGTATACGTCGACGCAAAGTAGCGAATGTCGTCAATGTGCAAGGCTATAGGGTGACAAATCTTGGATACAAGCCATGTAAATCTGGTACAGTATTTTTGTATACAAGCTGCTGTGAGTACATGTCGATAGTATGTACCCCTCACAGTTAAGTAAGTTAACTACAAGTCGATCTTTATCTCAAGTTAAGTCGATCACGTGAGCTCAAAGGAAACTAGAGTTTACAATGACAGAATATAGATGATACTTCCGTACTAACGTTGCTATGTGTTAGGTTGATTTTGTGAGAATTGCACAATACACCTTATTTGGCAAATATCATATTGAAGCAGGACACAAACACGACCGCGCACGCACGCACACACAGACACAATAGGCATCAGCTGTAGGGAATCGAACTCGAACTCGAACTTTCCACTCGGACTATTTAACGGAATTACCAATTGGCTACCCTTTTCGTTACAGAATTACCAGGTGAAGACAATCTCAGGTTCCTAAAAAGAAAAGGTGAGAATACTTGTATATCTAGGGTGACATTCGACATATGCCCGGAGCTTGTAGGATATCCGTGTCAGTTTAGACGCATTACCAAGTATGTGAGTCACTCAGTGTTATTTAGTCGACTAGTTTGTTGATATCTATTAATAGTCATTTAACGCTCTAAAACGACACAACACTGATATAAGATATCAATGACGTGGTGTACGAGGAAGGTTTGACAGTCAGCACTATTTACAGGCATGTGTGACCTAGTTTTCATTCACTATGACGAGACAGATATACATGTACATGTAACCATGTCTAGACTCGAAGTTATGGTACGAGCACCATGCCTTTCTTGGGAATGTATGACAATTTTGAAACACTGATACGGTGTCTTGTATGTAGGTGTCAAACGTTTTATATCACCACTTCATAAATCCGGTTGACAGGCCTTTCGTTTGTACTGGGCAAAGCGGAAGCGTTTAGTCGTCCAACAATAATCAGTCAACAGATTCAAGGACGGGCCGGTTGGTGCATGAACTGCACATCATTGTAAAGGTAGGTAAGCACTGTGCATGTAATGTCATGTATTTAAGCCAATAATAATGCTTTACTTGCCGTGTGTCTAGTCATGTATGTGGTCTGTACAAAGTATACATTTGTTTCAGAAGTCCGATATCAAGTTACAACATTCGGTGGTAGGCCGGTATGGACTCGCCTGGTGAGTGTTGCTTACGACACAAGTTGGATACTTGCGTTAATGAAACTAAATCTTACAGTGTATTGGAGCATTTGAATTTGGTTAACCTAAGACAAATGTAATTATCCCATAACAGTCCTTATTGGTTGTGTTTAGCTACCAGATGTTTGTAGAAAAAATATATTCCGGTAAGAACAGATGACTCAAAATGTATAAACAACGCTTTATCTACTGTAATCGTGTTCCCTTGGACGCTGTATCTTGGTCTGTTCAAGGGTGTGCTAATGTATATAGGGTGTAAGCACGTTATTGTACAGCGACATGACTGTTGCCTTGTGCTCCTAACACCACCTAAGTTGAGAGTTGTAAGTGAAAACTGTTTCCTTTGGACAGCGGATTCAAGAGACGAGGCTCCAGAGGGGTCGAAAGTCGAGGCTCTAGATAAATGGGTTTCGCTCGCCGACTCAAAAGACGGTAAGAATTTGCAATTGAGAAAGGTGTAACCACGTGATTTCTATTGTGAGTGAGGGTAGGGGAATGGCGTGGCTTACCGAGACTAATTACTCAGTGAGGGAGTTTTATTTTAACGCTGCTTTTATCACACCACAGCTAGGCTCCATATATTGTATCCATGTCGGGAATAGAACCCCGCCATCGACGGGACAGGCGAACGCTTTACTCATGAAGCTATAGCTACCCCACCGCCCTACAGATCGACGATCGATGACAGATTGTTAACTAGATGTATGGGAATGCATCATACTCTGTGCGCTCGTAATTACAGTATGGTGATTGTTTGTTGGGGAGGCCTATACCCAGTAAAATATTCATTCTTGAGTAGCTGCATAATTTAACCAATAATATATCACGATTTTATAAACTTGAGGAAATCAGAATTTACAAACGGTTCTTTATATCAGTATGTAATTTGTACAGTGTTACAAAATACGAAATGGTGATATATGTTTTAAATATATATATATACTTGTGTAGGTAAAGTTTCTTTATATTTATTTAGGGCCAGTTGCCTTGTACTGAATATATTTTCTTTTTGTCTGATACATATCCTCACTGGGCAGATGCACTTTAGGTTAATACTACCGTAGGTTCATAATACTGATATATTTACATAACAACGTATGGTATGGATTTACTGGAATATTGCTTGATAACCACTGCCATGAAGCATAGTAAAATAGTTATGCCCAAAAAATTCGTATTACAAAATATGTGTTCCTTGCTGTTTCAGCCCGTGGTGTACCATCGTTTGAAAAGTATTACGACAAAGTTAAAGAGTAAGTTAATGTATCTATATACGTTTACATAATTCTGTAACCTTTACGTCAGGTGTCATTTACACAGTTACGTACATTTATATAGCCCTGTAACCTGTAAGAGACGGTCCTCTGTTACAGGGTATTTAGGATGCACTTGTGTTCAGATTTTATGATGACCATCCCCTAATGTGTCTATTACTTGTATGACCCTACCCTGTCATATTATGTTACACAATTCAGGGGACCAGTTGATACTTGTTTTCACTTTTATAATTGTAATGTTACGTAATTCAGTGGACCAGTTTATAGTTGTTTTAAGTTCTACAACTTGAATATGAATATTACACAATTCAAGTGGATATATGTTTTGAATTATATAACTTTGATATTACATAACTCATTGGACCAGTTGATACTTGTTTTAAGTACTACAAGTTTAATATTACACAATTCAGTGGACCAGTTGATACTTGTTTTAAGTTCTACAAGTTTAATATTACACAATTCAGTGGACCAGTTGATACTTGTTTTAAGTACTACACGTTTAATATTACACAATTTAGTGGACCAGTTGATACTTGTTTTAAGTATTACAAGTTTAATATTACACAATTCAGTGGACCAGTTGATACTTGTCTTAAGTACTACAAGTTTAATATTACACAATTCAGTGGACCAGTTGATACTTGTTTTAAGTACTACAAGTTTAATATTACACAATTCAGTGGACCAGTTGATACTTGTTTTAAGTACTACAAGTTTAATATTACACAATTCAGTGGACCAGTTGATACTTGTTCTTGAGTTCTATAACCTCAGCGTTACATATTTCTGTGAACCATGTTTCAAACAATATTCAAGGCCCAATACAAATAAATAGTCCTCTGTGCACAGACTTCAGCAAAGTCGTGCTTTAAATAAGTCATAAATATGTAGTAACATTTGTTCTGCAGAACATTTAAACCGCACACACGAGCCAAGAAGCTTGTAAGAAAAGAGACGGCTTCACCCGAGAGCGATAACAACAGATATGACTTCACCTACGCCAAAAGGGGACTTGCAGTCATTATCAATAATGAGGTGTTTGACCCCAAAACTAAGTTTGGAAAAGAAATGGATCGACCAAGGATGCTGAAAACCTTCAGAAGATGTTCGAAAGCCTGGGATTCGACATCATGCGTCGCGACAACCAAACTGGAGACCAAATGGTTCTCCTTCTCCAGAAAGGTGAGTTCGTGCTGTATATTTGCTTATTCTTCATAAATTATACATGAGTTACTCTGTGAACTACAAAATAAGTAATATCACTTGATCAACAGATCGTCTCTCCCCATGATCTTGAATGGTTCATAAGAGTCTTTTTACGAACACACAGTATATTTATTTCTTAAAGGAAGTCAAGAATAATTATTTTTTCATATTCCTATAGTTAATCTGTGAGGGTTTAGAAAAGAGTGCATAGGGAGGTGGGGAGGGCCATCTAAAAATATGACAAGCATAAGAGAAGGCTTAAAAAACTTCAAGACATCAGAAATGTCTGATCTCCCATCCCTGTAATATATGAGTGGATTCTTAAAGGTCGAGTTCAGTCAATTCTGCTCATGAGCTATAGCTAAGAGATAGGGATTGCTTGAGTATGTCAATCTTTTCTCCTCGGTGAGTATTGGTACATTAAACTTCACATTCTCATTCATCAACAACGAAAATTAACCATTCCCGAGTAGTCACATGTGCTTGGGGTTGCAAGATCAGTTTGTGTTGGTCACGTTAACATGGATATTCAGCAGACATACTGACCAAACAATCCTCATTTTGGTTGACTTTAAGAAAATGCTTTGGATACTGGAGACGTGCAATGTCCTGAAATCATTTGTACAACTGCTGGACTTTTTTAGCATTCTTAAATCTCCTCTCCAGTCGCCAGCAACAACGAATACGACCACACCCAGGCAGACTGCTTTGCCTGTGCTATCCTGTCGCATGGTGATAATGAAACGTTTCCGCCCACAAGTCCACCATGTGATGCTTTGCTGCGACACGACCTCCTCTATGGCGTGGACGGAACGATAGTCCCCACAAGTTTCCTCCTTGGCATCTTCACCGACGATTGCTGCCCCGAACTTGAAGACAAACCAAGACTCTTCTTCATACAGGTGCTGAACACTGGGACATTGTCCTTGACATGGATTCACAACCAGTTTGGTCAGAATGTTGTTTGCCTATTTTCAGTGTAGATCTGGAGGTTGTAGCTAATGAGTTAATGCCTACTCTATGACAGTAGGGGTAATAATATTGCTGGTATCATGATCATGAAATAATAGCAGGGCTTTAAAGTAAGGTGCTGTTTAAATAACCATATTTTTCACAAAACAGGGATTAACATAGTTGTGCAATACCATACTGTTGCAGCTTCAATCGAACAAACAGCACATTATGTTGATGATCAGACCTTAATCTTTTTCAGGCATGCAGGGGTCGAGACTTAGATGATGGGATGGATGTTACTGTTCTGAGGCCAAAGGTTCCAGTAAAGACTCTAGGTGCTGGTTCAGGTATAGACACAAGTGATGCACGTCCCGAGGAACAGCTGGAGACTTTACATATTGATGAAGGAAAGTCAGAAGAAGGGGAAGGGCTGGCCCAGTCCAAACATAGAGGCGAATCAAGACAAACAGCTCCTCAATATGTCTACACCATCTCTCCATCACCCATCTACAAGGACTTCCTCCTTATGTATGCCTCCCCACCAGGTAAGATCTGGTAGACTCAGCAGCTTCATCCATCTATAAGGATTAACTTAAACAGATCATGATAAGACAATCCACAGATAAGAACTAGCATAATGCTGATCATATGATCAATATTATTTTCTGGTAACTGATCTGATTTTGCAAGCTAGTGACTCTAGACCTCTAGATCAATGTACCAGCTGGAACCTTGATAATCACAGACCTCTAGATAAATGTACCAGCTTGGACCTTTATAACACCAGACTCATAGATCAATGTACCAGCTGGGACAATGATAATCACAGACCTCTAGATCAATGTACCACCTGGGACCTTGATAACCATGGACCTCTAGATCAATGTACAAGCTTGTACCTAGATAACCCCAGACCGACAGATCAGTGTACCAACTGGAACCTTTATGACCCTAACACTACTAGATCAATGTACCAGCTGGGACAATGATAACCACAGACCTCTAGATCAATGTACCACCTGGGACCTTGATAACCACAGACCTCTAGATCAATGTACCAGCTTGGACCTAGATAACCCCAGACCTACAGATCAGTGTACCAGCTTGGACCTTGATGATCCTAACACTTCTAGATCAATGTACCACCTGGGACCTTGATAACCACAGACTTCTAGATCAATGTACCACCTGGGACCTTGATAACCACAGACCTCTAGATCAATGTACCAGCTTGGACCTAGATAACCCCAGACCTACAGATCAGTGTACCAGCTTGGACCTTGATGATCCTAACACTTCTAGATCAATGTACCACCTGGGACCTTGATAACCACAGACTTCTAGATCAATGTACCACCTGGGACCTTGATAACCACAGACCTCTAGATCAATGTACCACCTGGGACCTTGATAACCACAGACCTCTAGATCAATGTACCATCTTGGACCTAGATAACCCCAGACCTACAGATCAGTGTACCAGCTGGAACCTTGATGACCCTAACACTACTAGATCAATGTACCAGCTGGGACAATGATAACCACAGACCTCTAGATCAATGTACCACCTGGGACCTTGATAACCACAGACCTCTAGATCAATGTACCAGCTTGGACCTAGATAACCCCAGACCTACAGATCAGTGTACCAGCTGGAACCTTGATGACCCTAACACTACTAGATCAATGTACCAGCTGGGACAATGATAACCACAGACCTCTAGATCAATGTACCACCTGGGACCTTGATAACCACAGACCTCTAGATCAATGTACCAGCTTGGACCTAGATAACCCCAGACCGACAGATCAGTGTACCAGCTTGGACCTTGAAAACCACAGACCTCTATATCAATGTACATGTACCTGCTTCGACCTAGATAACCACAGACCTACAGATCAGTGTACCAGCTTGGACCTAGATAACCCCACACTTCAAGATCAATGTACCAGCTGGGACCTTGATGACCACAGACCTACAGATCAATGTACCAGCTTGGACCTAAATAATAATAATAATAATAATAGTCCATTTATTTTGCGCGTTTATCCATGCACATTACATGCTCAAAGCGCTGACATATATCCCAGGTCAACGAGTACAGTACACTCCCTGTGGAGAATACAACCGGTCGCCTGTCAGGTGCTCAAGGTTCAAATTCAGACTACCATCGTATCATACCAGGTACCCAATTTTACTGCTGGGTGGACAGAGGCAAGTTTGAACAAAGTCACTTGCCTAAGGTGAGACCACTCTGACTACATGCGTCACAAGTGCTTCGTTGTGGGGCAGGACTGAAGTCCTAGAAACTTTCAGGAGTCAAGCTGCCAAACACTGTCACCCATCCGAGGACTGTCCGCGACCAATGTTGCTTAGCTTCAACTGATTGTGACCTGAGCTCTACGCACAGGACCACACACCAAGATAAACCACAGACCTACAGATCAATGTACCAGCTTGTACCTAGATAACCCCACACTTCTATATCAATGTACCTGCTTGGACCTTGATAACCCCAGACCTACAAAAACCGTACCACACTTTGCATATTTCCAAGAGACGGTGTAGTGGAAATGTGGCACACCATAATATTCACTCAAAATAGCCAGAAAACTGATAAACAAAATATGATAAAAATAAATGGTATTTATTTCTCTTCTTCAGGGTACTATGCATGGCGAAACCAAACAGATGGAGCTTGGATGATACAGCACCTGACATCGGTTCTACAGAAGGAAGGTATTGCTGATGTACCACTTATGAGCCTTCTCACACGAGTCAGTGGGGAGTGTCAAGTATGATGTCACGGGCAAAAGGCAATATGAATAGAAAGAAGGCAGTTCCCTGTGTTATGTCAATGCTCACTAAGGATGTATACTTTACATCCAAAACGTCACCACGTTAAGTCAAGTTGATATTGTCTACAGGTGTTCATATAGAACAATGTCAATAATACCTTCAATCTACAATATGTCCCGGACATAAAACCTTGGAGATCAGGACATTCAAGGTAGCCTGACATGATCTATGATGAACATTTTGCCCTTGGAATTAGCTTATATGCATTTTCGAGCTAGATGTGGGCAAAATCACTTGTATGGTTTTATTAAAGGCAAAATGTCATTCCATGTAAGTATTTATATAATGTAACTCACTGTGATCTCTGTCAACCCTTTCTAGTGAGGTTTTCATATAGTTGATAAATTGTTGATACTCTTTTGTAAGATCTATATATATATATTGATAAATTCAAAATGATTTCTTGCTCATAAATATTGAATTAGTTCCAAATAAAACAAGCACTTACAAGATAACACAGACATGAATTGATGTAGTGTTTTGTGGCCTGGTATGCAAGGTGTCCCTTTACACAGATACAGCTAAGGTATGTACATTGGACAATATCAGTGCAATTTGGAATACACTCTCTACACTGTGGAACAGTGTGCCACAACCAGGCAGTAACCAAGCAGTATTGGTCAACAGTCTATCTGGACCAAGAACTATATCAGTCATTGGCGGATCCAGAGGGGAGGGTCAGGGGGTTCGACAAAAAAAAACACCCCCACCCCCCCTGAAATGACTTAAGACCACATTGAAGACTTTTTGCGTTTGCGGAGCCAATGGGGGGTTCAGGGGGTTCGAAACCCCACTGAAACACACACACCCCACACCCCGAAATTCCTGGATCCGCCCATGACAGTAGTATATTGATCAGTCTGTTTGGACTAAGCACTATCAATGCAGTATTGTGGTAAAGACTTCTGAATTGAGACAGGATCTGGGACCAAACAGTATTTTTAACAATCTCTGCTGACATCAAGCCAGCCAAGCAGTATTGTTGAACAGTCTGTCTGGACAAAGCACAGCCAAAACAGCATTTTGACCAGCCTATATTGATCAAGAGCTATCCAAACAGTATTGCTGAACGGAAGGCTGGCCCAAGCACTATCCTAACCGTATAGTTGAAGTGTCTATCTTGACCAAGTACTTTCCAGGCATTCAGACTGACAGTCAGGCTAATTTCAAAGACTGATGGCAAGGGAGGTAATCAGTACTGCACATAGCCATTTCAAATGATTACTTTTGAAATAATGAGAGAGAAACTGTGATGTCATGTTTAATGCCCCTTGGCTTGAGTGAGTATGGTTTTATGCCACTTTAAGCAATTATTCAAGTAATATCACGGCAGGGGACACCAGAAATGGACTTCACACATTGCAAGCCATGTGGGGAATCAAACCTGGGTCTTTGGCGTGACAACTGAATGCTTTAACCACCAGGCTACCCCACTGCCCCAATGCCACTTGGAACAGTTTTTCATCATATTAAGGTGGGTCTGCTTGATTTGGGAGGAAAACTCAAAGTGATGCAGGCTTGAGATGGTTGTGGGATGTGGGATGCAGGCTTGAGATGGTTGTGGGATGTGGGATGCAGGCTTGAGATGGTGGTGGGATGTGGGATGCAGGCTTGAGATGGTTGCCATCTGAGACAGTCACCAAGCCATGAGTAGAAGTATGAAGCTGATGAACCTAGAAACAATACAACCAAATTGGGATTTGCAGTGTTCATTCTAGGCCATGTCCCTTGTGCCATTCGCCAACTAATATTTAAGATGGGGCACTGTACAGGTACGTGCAGGTCGTGTCGGCGCATCCTTAAATGTATATCTGAAACACATCACAAGTTTGTTTTCACTTAACAACTCAAGCAAAACTCAAATATATCTTTGGTTTCTCTTGTTGACCTCGCCTGGATTGAAAGTTTATAAAAGGAAGTGAACTCATACTAGTAGTGTATGACTAAAATGTAACAGCAATTTGACATGACCCACAATATTTTTGAAAATACCCACATAACTGAGGGCTGGTGGGCCATGGGCTCACTTTCTAGAAACGCTTGAATGAACACTGGATTTGAAACCGTCATGATTGGTTTTCTGATCTGCTTAGCAAACTGCAGCATCTTTGACAGTTAGGATATTGGTGTCCTCGATTACCAACAATATGTATAACAATGTATAACAATGCAACCTGCACCATAATTGAACCATAATTGGATGAGGTTCTGATGTTAAGAAGGGGTAGATAGTGCCGGAACTGTGATTAAATGACAACTGCAGCACAGTTATAGCCGAGGCTGGCACTGGCATCCTGAGTCTGTCACTTCTCCATGCATTGACTAATAATCAGGAAGTAATCACCTTTGCTCCCATATGATAGGGTCTTGTGGTGTATGAACAGACAAACATGCTGGTGTGAATGGATTGATAACACAATTGATTGGTATTAATTTCATCTGTAATGGTGTACTGGAGAATACCTGTCATGCTCATAAACATTCTGTTCATGTACAAAATGGTTTGCAGAATAAAGCATATTTTGTTAATGTTGTTCTTGTTTTCATTGAAGGCTTTCCGATCTTTACCTCCATTAAGGCAGATTCAGTTCATCCCCTACTACAGGATCGCCTCCGTGGTGCAGTGGTTAGAGCGTCTGCCCCGAGAGAGGAAGGATGTGGTTTTGATCCCCGGACACGTGATACCACAAGATGTTAAAATAAGGTACTTGTTGGTTCCTGCCTGGCGCTCGGCATCAATGGGTACAACAAGGACTGGTTGGCTTGGAGTCAGTATAATGTGTCTGAGTGGGGTATTCAGGCTTAACTGCAGCATGGTTTCTCGGTGAGCTAGCACTATAAAACCAGCTTAAGTCTGGGCTAGTACAAGCAGCCACATATATACATGCTTTGCACGTCGTCATATGAGCGAAATATTCTTTAGTGCGACGTTAAACCCCATTTCACATCATCCCCTAGTACAGCAGCTATATCGTAGGACAATAGTCACACAAGGTGGTTCAACCCCAAATCTAGCAGCTATATCGTAGGACAATAGTCACAGCAAGTGCTTCAACCCCAACAATAGCAGCTATATCAAAAGAGGAGAGCCACAGTGACTTAAGAATCAAACCTGGACAAGCTGTGTAGTGAGCAAACACACAAACCACTCTGCCATATCACAGCTCCACTTTTACAGACCTTTGTGTAGCAGGCTGCATTTCACGTTTTGCGAGAAGTGACATTAATTAAAGAAAACAACTTGTTAGTATTCTTAAAGTGAAGTTGTTTGAAAAAACAAAATTAGGAGTTCAAACATGACATGGTCTATTCTCACAAAATCAACAAATACCATCATACTTCAATATAATTTATTGTCATCAGTACATCACAAATGACAATTTCACCCAAGAAAGAGAAATGTTCAAACTGTGTCCCATCCCAAACATACAAATTGCTGAAATTTGTATCAACACTCCAATATTAACACATGGCACAATATCCTGTACCAATAACTTGCACACGCACACACGTACATACAAAGTCGAAATTAACAAACACATTGTAGAATTTGGTCGATGAACACTACTCTACCAAAACATGATTCTACATGGTGCATTTCTTCAATCTGAGTGAAAGTATAACAACTGAATGATGACTATGGAAATCTGTCGTCAAGACAATAGTATTTCTTGACCATTGATTATGTCTACATATGCCCTGCAAGATGAAATCCCATGAGTATAACATGGCCAATGATGCCTTTTTTTATAAAAAGCTGGCTGCCTTGGATACAAAATGTTGACATTATCCAAACATATATATTTCTATCTTTGATACATTATACTGCTGTCCCACCATTACTAAGTGAGCTTATGGTTTTATATCCAGGATAATCTCAATGGAAGTGTAAATGATAAGATACATATATACCAGTATATGTGGGAAATTATGCGAGTTAGTAACTTCAAAAAAGGCTAATACTGACTAAAATACTGCTTCCTGGCAACTGATTACAATGACAGAAAAATCTGAATGTTTAAATAACTAAGATACATTGAGCATACTAACTAAATAAAAAAGGGATATTTGACTGTATAAGATGAACTTTATACATATCATGGGACTTTAATTTTGAGCTAATGCTGAAAACATTTTGCTTACAATATACCCATAATTCCAAATTTGTTATACACTATTGAGGCCAATACTATACGGTTCCATCCCGACGTATTTCTGTAATGATAAACCTAGTGATCATGAACAAGAATGAATAAGTATTTGGCCAAGTTTACAATGATAAATATTCAAGGAAACTTACCTAAATGTAATCGCAGCACTTACTAGACTGTCATAAAACATTTGGCTTTCATCAATATTTCACTTACCGTGAAACAGAAGTGCCACCTCTGATTTTTGTAGAAATCAACTTCTTTGTTAAATTGCACAGATGCTTATTAAAAAAGACATTGAAGAGCATAATATTATTAGTGATCAACCATCAATTGTCACCAGAAATGGTATAAGACTTGGTGTTCAAGTAACAAGCTATGCCATTGAACTGTCAAAGTGTATATCATTATTATCCCTGATATCCCAAACTTGGCTTTGTTGCACTTTTGGCACACAAGATTATGTTGCACATAATTTGGCTTTCTATATGTCAAATCTCAAACAAAAGCAAAAGTTTGCAAAGAAAATTCTCAGGTGTTGTAGATGTGAGAATAACAACATTATAAACAAAGACAAATTTGGCTTTTACAGATTCATACATTCAAACAGATCATATATTGGACAATATATGTCATTTACGCAGCATGAATTAATTAAGAGGAAATATACAAAGACATTCCTGCAAGTTTGATTAAAATTATCAACACAAATGAAACATCTGAAAAATGTGTATAGAACAGGGATTTTTGTCTCATGTTGTATTAATAATTTTGCAAGTATTTGTGGCAAGTCAAAACTTAAAAAGAGGTTAGTATTTTATTAAATATTTATCACTTAAACATAAGTTTAGTCCAATATAACAGTTGTATTACATAGGGAAGCCCTAAAACAAATATAGTAAAAGAAATACACAAATTAATTTTCAATCTGCACATTTGAATACAAAATACAAACAGAAGCAAAAATCCAAGGTATCAACCTATTGTTTCCTGACAAACTCAATATAACCACTACTGTGAAAACAGTCAACCCTACCTACAGCTTATGTGAAGGACACTTGATCATGAAAAATGACAACATATGTCATGTAAATCAGAGATACAACTCAATACAATGAATATGTGGTCGTGAATTATCCTGTGTGTCATCAAATCTGCATTGAAAGGTTATAAGTTAATGACTTACAGACAACAGACATCCGACAGAAACGAAATAAATCGTATCCCCTTAAACTGAAAATATCTGTCCCATCAATATCAAAGTCCCTGTGGTGGAAATTTAGAAAACTTCCACCCAAACTAGTAAAACAAAGCCCAATGTTGAGAGTGAGCGGGTGAGTGAGTGAGTTGGCTTTTATGCTGTTTTCAAATAAATCTCAAATACTATACAAATCTTGTGACAAACATGTTTTATTTGGGATTACACTTTCAGCAATTTATTACAATGATTACAAATATACCAACATCTGAGCGCTTTTCAAGTGGATTGTCTGTTCCGAGTCTTATGTCTGTTGTCTGTGTGTATTCTCATCCATCATAAATAATACAACCAGCAATGTTCTGTCCTCAATAGAGGAGCCTACATGGTGGAAAATGGAATGTAGAAACAAGTGAACACCTCATTACAACTAAATTGTTAAATACTTTATGTCACACCCTCTATTAAATACTTCATACCCAGGTTAGGCCAGCTTAAATATGTTATTAGATTTTCATCCATTTTTCAACATTGTCAGGGGAGAAGAAATATTTTTTACTGCATCATATTTCAACAATCTGTTCACATCTCTACATTACCTGTCTATATGTATGCTTCAATAGCTGACTGCATGGCACGAAAATAAATATTGTTTATTTCAAACCGAAAACATGAAGTTATATTCCTCATCTTCAGTTAGGAGAAGAGAACAAAAATTTGGGGTGTTTGATAACGAGGAGTGTAAGATGAAAACCTAATAATTTATTTGTTGCGACCTTGGACTTGTATCTTACACCAAAAATGAAACAAAAACTATACAATGGTTTGTACAAATGAAAAGATCAGAAATCAGTTTGACACAATGCCTGATTGTCAGTAACATAATACAATCTCTGTATTGGCACACCTTAGAGCTGTTCAATATACAATATAGCCAGAGTCAGTATGGTCAATACCAGTGTATGTTGTCTTCACTCCAAGGTGGTCATAGCAAAACTACAAACAGATCAGTACTTAACATCACATTCACATCCGTAGCACAGGAACACTGCATTCCAAGTCAATTTCAGTTAGGTCACATTCTTAATATTTTCAACAAATCAGTTATTCAAATTTAATAAAAAAAATCATCAGAAACACATTTGTTTACAACCAAACTCCAATGTGTAAGACAACAATAACTCTCTATACTTGAGGAAATGTATAATTGGAAACTGATGAAATCGTATAATTAAACTTATGTGTTCCAAAGAGAGGTTAATTCTGATAGAAGCATTCATAAAATACAGACATGCAGGGATTCACAATGAAGCCAGTCTGACATCATCAGTATCAATAATATTGATTATTATTCATTTCAAATATTTCCAATCACCCTAAATTTCTGAATAATGTCTGTAATGATTAACAAGAATTATATAACAGTAAGTAGATATAGCACTATGTTTCCTCACACTGGCAAGATACGTTCCACGCAGTGACAAGTATATTCTTTTTGTTGGCAACGTATGTTCAATGCACTAGCAAAGTTTTTCCATTCACTGCAGGATACGTTTAATGCACTGCAAGGTACATTCTATTTACACTTCATGATATGTGTATAAGTATCAGATATTTCCAAAGATTTTGATAATTTCTGTCTATTTGTTTATATCTGGGTTATCGTCTTCAGTGTGATATAAATAATGTTGTATCCTGTGCAGGTCATACAACCATTATATGCAGCTAAAATTGAGTCTGCACAGCTATGTACAAATATTGAGTCAAGGTTCAGCCTACCCAGGACAGATGAAACAATGGTATTCGATGCAAAGTGGTGGAGCTTCATTCAGAAAACAACAGTTCCAAGCCCTTATATACATCGCCACCGAATGGCTATGCACGGATAGTCCCTAGCCGACACAAAGTCATAGCCTCACAAAGAACATCAATGGCTATCATGAAGCAGTGACCATCCTGTATATGATCTCTGTATAAACACAAAAATACTTAATGTTTCAGCAAAATAATTCATGTAGGTAATATCAGTTAACAAACTGATTACATATAACGCATGGTTTTTAATGTTTTACTGGTGTCATATTCCTTTAAACTTTCTGTCGATCATACTTCAAAGTGCAAACCCAACACAAAAAGTGATTAAATTTAGTATATCACCCGATTGTCTTCTGATATCAAAT